ATCTAATCTACTTTTAAATACAACTGTTAAAGAGTTTTATAGACGAATGTAAAAAAACTTTGGTACTCATATACTAGACTGTGAGTGAATCAGTGCATTAAAATGAGTTCATCAACTCAAAAAAAGATGACATTTTTCTACTTGGACATTGGGATCTTGAGCCATTGGTAAGGATTAACCAACTTCCAACTCTTTAGCAAGTTCTACTTTGTTATCACCACACATTAAATGAACCAAAAAATGTGAAAGATTCTGCGCATATGCTCATTCAATAAGTCATAGAGGTGTGGAGCAAATCTGGTATTCCAACCAGACAACCAAATCACTGCATTGAAAAACTTATAAAAATTCATAAGAAATGGCTACTTTTAAAGAAGAATAAAATGAGATTTGGAAGTGCAGACAAATAGAGAGCATTTGTTTACAGAAGAGCTAGACAAACTTTTTGATATTGCCCATCTACAGGCCATGAACTCAATCAAAATTGTGGAAGACAGAGAGTTTCTCATTGATCAAAAAGGTGAGCGTAAGACATCAATTGACAAGAAGCTGGAAAAGACCAAAGAACGTTCTCTAAAACGAAAACAAAGAGCTGAAGAATTAAGAGAAAAGGCTGCTAAAAGTAATGCTTCAACTTCAGTAATGTCAAGTCAAGAACTAGAACTTGATTTCAGCATCAGTAGCACTTCTAGTGCTGATAGCTATTTAAAAGATAAGCAAGATGATTATTTTGTGGCTGCTTTACCATCAAGGACTTTTTCTTGCAATTATCTCCCGAGATTTGGGGTGACAATGTTGATTACCTTCAAGGCAAAAGTTGCATAAGAAATTTGCATGTGGTTAACAACACTGCGGAGAGGGGTGTAAAACTATTTGAAGATTACAATACGATACTCACTAAGAATGAGGAAGAAAAACAATTTTTACTTCATGTTGTTGAACAGAACAGAAAGATTGTTTCTACTGAAACATCCAAATAAGTGCTAATGAACTTAGTTTTAGGTTGAGAAAAAAGAACTTTAATTAATATTATTTTAAGTATTGCTTTGTTTATAACATTTTGTGTGTGTTTAAATACTATATTTGAATAAAAAAAAAACTTACTTTTGATACATAATTTACGTTTTTTACTTAATATCCTGACTAGTTCTTTTTAAGGATTTTTTTCATGAAATTCAGATATTTCAAAGTCGATGAGCACCCCCCTTGTATATAAGATAAGGGGCTGAAATTTTGAACACATAATAGGAATGGCAGGTGTAACAAAACAAGGGGGTGGCATGACTTCCACCCCCCTTTTTTTCTATTTAAGCATGGGACACCCTAATGTACATATTGTTGGTCAAGCTGGCCTAATGTCAGCTGAATGGCAATCTTAAAGTCACCCTATCTCCCCTAAAATGGGGACATTTAGAACCAACTGAGTGCAATATCTCATCACTCTGACTACACAAAAGAAAAGTCAACTGTGATGGACATCACCTTGTGTATTGTGTACTCTGTTTTGTTGACACAAAAGTTTCCAATAAACTAATACTAAACTGTTAATCTTGTAATTTTAAAAAATTTAATCTTCAACTGAAACAAACAATTTTTTTATAAAATGTGGAAGAATCATGTTTAAGAATTGGAAATTGTGATGAGATTTTCTCGATTTCAATTCCTATACCTTGAAAATGTCTGATTTTTCCAATTCTGATTAGTCGTCCCATTACTATTGATTATATATTAACCTGGCATTTCATTACTATCAAGTGAATCATTAGGCATTTCTATTAAAACTGAAAGTACAGTAGAGCATCGTTTATCCGAATCAATTGGGGACTAGGGTTGTTTGGATAACTTATTTTTCAGATAACCGATTATGTACGAAAAATATATTAACCTAGCCCAGGGGTCGGCAGTTTGTCAAGTGAGAAGAGCCAAATTGTCATGAAAACAGGATAACAAAAGTACCAGAGAGCCGCATATTAATTTAAATGTGCAAAATATGACACACGACAGAGGTGCCTCTAGTGGGCGTTTTCGGCATAACGTTACACAAATGGACGGACATGCGTTCAATGGGTTATATATATAGATATGCTTCAAATGCTACCACTCTTATGCGACTCATATTGATCAACGCGGTTATAAGGCTGCTGTGAAATGAGGTGAGATGAAATTGGAGTTTATTTCCGAAGAGCCGCATGCGGCTCGCGAGCCGCTAGTTCCGACCCCTGGTCTAGCCCATGTTGAAATTTTTCTCCGTTGCGTGTTGCTTTGCATTGAATTTTCGTTGATGTTAAGCCTAATGTAAATTTTTTTAAATAATAATTGTGACTATTGTATCATTAAAAATTATTTCTTTATTTTGTACAAACAAAATAAATATATTGAAAAATATAAAAACAAAAAAATTATATTTTGGAAGTACCCCTTAAGCCCCAAACCCGAGATATCTCGGGCAAGTTACATAGCGTTACATAAAATGCGGTCCTTAAGGCATTTTTGAAATTTTTTTTGACTTTTTGGAATGTTTTTTTAAGTCTCCAAATTTTTTTCAAAATTTTTTCCTGCGCGAAAAAATTTTATTGCTATTTTAATTTACCTTTAATGACGCACGTTTCACACTTAATTGCTTTTTAATAGTTTTTTAATGGGAGTTTGATATCAAATTTCATTCATTGTTCTAAAGTTGTAGTGCACTGATTTTCCTTCGGTAAAGTTATTTAAAGCTAGTTTCTGATGTCAAAAACGACCTCCGATAGTTTTTTAATTTTTTTAATTAATAGATTTTATTATATATAAGTTTAATTAAGTTGGGGGTCGGAAATCTCAATAAAAATTTTAATTTTTTAAAAATATTTAAAAATATAGGTCTAGTTAGTATTCATCCTACTTTAAACCCTTCTTATCCTGAGACGTCTATGAGAATGTCCCGAAATACCACACCAGCTGTTCTCAAGGTCATCCAGCTGTGTAAACAATGACTTGTCAGTGTCAAATTTCACAGAAAGAGAAGATAAAGGAAAATAAAAATTGAAGCTTTTTCTTCAAAATTAATGCATTTCTTTAGTTTTTTTTCAGTTTTAAGTATTTTTTATGTTTAATTACATCAATATCAAAAATTGCTTGAGGCTTAAGGAGTTGACCCTTCGGTATTCAAAGTATAAGGAGACCCTTCGGCATTGTCACAAATGTTTTTAAAAGAACAATTTTCTAGAAAAGAAAGTGTGAATATTTTTTTCTTAGAATTAAAATAAATTTTAAAAAAATAGATTTTTTTAAAACAGCAAATTTATTAAAATTTTTGTTAATTGGTGTAAAAAGAAAACTGAGAGACTTTTTACAAATTGTTAAATCAAAATAGTGTAAAAAATTCATGTAAAAAACATGTGCGCGCATTGCTTTTTACATAAATAGTTTTTATTAATTGATAAACCAATCTGATCAATGAATTATTCAAGAATGATATTTAATTAAAAAATAATTAATTGTGTTAATTTTTGTTTATCAACATTGCGTCGGTGAAGATCACAGTGACATGTTTCACCAGGACTTGCACCACTGTGTCTTTATGGACAGGCACGGAAACTGTTATGTTCTCGCACAAACAATTGCATGTGTGAGTGAATGGATTTGTGATGGAGGGAGAGACAACATACCGGAAGTGACTTACTCAGAGACAGGTTAACGTAACAACTATTTAATGGGTAACGATAGGCCATACAGGACATACATTTCGATCTTAATGATACTAGATTTTAGATACATTGGTTCCAGGGATATTAGATATATAAACTGACATTAACGTTCCACAGTTTCCGAGAGAGAGAGAGTTTACAGTAAATATGTGTGGCGATAAATACTTTTTTATTGCCACAATCCTCTGCAAGCCGGTTGGACAGAAAGGAGGACAGTTCTGGATGACAGTTCTTATTCCCACAGTTTGAGTTAACTAGATATTATGCGAGAAGGTAAGGTATCCAAAGGAGCATAGGTTATCCATATATTTTAACACAGGAATATTTTGAGTGATCCGATCGAGGAACTGGTGACGACTGCCGCACTTTGTTGTTCTGTTCTATATGTTGTACTGTTGAAATCAAAATATTAGGTCGAGAGGTGATGAGAAAGCATCGTTGTCAGGCCTGAGAACTTAACATGTTTTGCTTTCAGGTGTAAAAGTTGACAGTTATTTAACAAAAGTATAGCTACGATGTGATGTTAGGAGATAATGATGTAAACATACTGAAAGTCTGGATTCGGATCCTCACACTTCTGTTGCTGATTGACACAATTTTTTATGTAGATGCTGGAAGTTATTGGTAAATTTGTGTGTGTATGTATATGTATGTATTTATTATTATTTTGTATGCAATTTTGTGAAAATGATTCATTTTCACTTAAAGCATTATGCCAATTGCATTGCAAGCAGATATCAGAGCTGTGAGACTATATTAAATTATGCAAGTTTAATTAAGTAATGGTTAATATTTAAAATTTCCAAAAAGTTTATTAAAAAGAATTGGGAATACTAAAAAGTGAGGTATAAATGCTGGTCAAATAATTAAAGATTGTTATTTAGTTTGATCTTTTAAATTGACAAAACAGTGTATTTGTAAAAAGTAAGTTCTTGAAATATGTTATTAATTTTTTATAAATATTACATTTCTGGTATTCATTTGTATGAAGTGGTCATTAACTGTATAACTTTTGTCAGTTTACTTGCTATAAAGTTTTAATTCTTCCACATTGTTTATTCCTGAAACAATCCTATGTTTTAGTCTTTACACACTATAATGCTAAATAATGTAGAATATTTAGTTAATTATAACTTATACTGAATTTATAACAATTCTGTATTTATTTTCATAGTGAAATTTTTTTTCCAAAATTAAAGTATAGATGGAAAGAATCTGCTTATTATTATACTATTACTTAAAAAAAAAGAGAGAGAGAGATCAAAATATCTGTCTAGTATTGAAAAATACAATTCTTTAAACTATTCCATACAGGACAATGCCATAGGTTAGCTGCAAATGGTTACAAACTTCCACAGCCACTTCCACCAGGTGAAATCCTTGTTGATTTGGTTAAACGAAAATGGAGATTAGGAAAATCTATTGGTGTTGGAGGATTTGGTGAAATATATCTTGGTAAGTAATAAATGCTTTATTTTTGTAATATCTTACATCAAATATTTCTACTGCTTTAACATGTAGCATACCTTGTCTGTCTGTACTGTCTTGTTCTCAAATTGATTAAAGTTGCACATAACATGTTTGGCTTTTTGTGGCTAAGAGTGACAGTCTTCTTGCTTTCAAAACATTTTTTTAATATTTTAATGCAATTTGTGATGTATCCAATTTCTAATTTTGTGAATTTAATCAAATATTAACTTACATTTTAGAATTGATAACCAGTGTGACTTAAACTTACCTAAATTAGTGGCAAAATATTGATTTATGTGATATGTTTATGTAACAATTACTCTTCATAAACTAAAGGTACAAATCAAATAAAATGTCGTTAATTTTGAAAATTTAAGTTATCCGTAAAAGATTGGTTAAATAGTTGCTGAAGAAAAAATAAATTAAATGACCTATTAGGGCTTGTAAGACTGAAAAGATAATTCAATAATAATTCTTATTTTTTATGTCCAAGTTTATACTTTTCCTATTATCTTCATTTTAAATAGAATATTTTAGTGGTAGATTTATTCATAAAATTTAGTATTTATTACTTTCATATAAATAAAGTATATAAAAAAAATTATACATAAATATTTTTAAAACTAGTAAAATATTTAGCTAGATATATTGCATATAAATTTAAAGACGAACATAATAATTTAGGTAAAAATTGGGTGAGGAAACTGTGAGAGGCTTCTCTGTACGGCTTCATGTTTTCCAGACCATGCTGAGAAGCCTGTTACATTTCTCCTACTCATTATTTGATGGTGTCCAGCTTCCTTTTGAGTATTTTAAATGGATAAAAACATATACTAATTTTTATACACAACTTTGTAATTTAAACTGTGCCACTCTTTTTATAGTGTCCAAGATAGGATTTCCTCCTATCAGAAGGGGGTCTAGAATGCATAGTGACTACATCATCAAATAGTCCACTACTGATTATCTATACAGGTAGTCCTCGGTTTACGCCGCAGTTCCATTCCTACAAAAGCCGGCGCAAATCAAATCAGTGTAAAATGAACCCATATTTACAGTGAGGTATAGGGTTAGGTTCTACATAAGTGAAAAATAAGCAAATAATTTTGTTTATTAATACAATATAATACAAAATACATATAAATTTAATTTTTAAAACATATTTTATCATAAAATAAAGTGAAATGTTTTTATTAAAAATTTTAGTTTCGGATCTTGTACGTTTTTCGGAAAAAAGAATCCATCTTTAATTGTTTACATTTTTGTTTTCTTTCATTGAGAATTTCAGAATATGATCGAATATGATGCTCCTTTTTACATTTGCACTTCACTCCCAATCATTGTCTAACTCACAAAATTCATTCGTCAAACTTTTCATAGTTGAAAGGATACATTAACCTGATGTAGAGCTACAGACGAGCGGAGACACTGATTGGTCGACCACCGGTCGCCATAGCACATATATAAGGTCAGTTTGTGCGGGAAAATTGAAGGTGGCTAAGGAGAGATAGATGATATTTGACTGACAAGAAGTAGATATCAGTCTACCATAGGGAAAATCGGGAAATTACGCTGCAAAATGGCGAATTGCGCAGTGGCGTTATTGTGAATTGGTGTAAATTGAGCTGGCTCTTGTGCATTTGTATTTAACTAATACATACTGCAACTTATCTTGCTTCTTCTGTTTTAGACACACACACAGCCCTCAATTTTCACACACAATTGGTTCCTGAAAGTGTGTGTAAATGTTGAATGTTTGAAAGTAGAGGAATGTAAAAAAAAAGCACCAAAAACTGTGGTTTAAAGTATTTATTAATATGTATACATAATGAAGTTAATGAGGTGTGTTTAAGTGCTTCTGGGTGTTTTCTTTATAAACTTGTCAAGAGTTAGTTGAATACTGCCTTTTTTTCTTTTCTTGATAAAGATTTATATAACATGCTGTCTTCCTCAATTGCCCTACGTACTTGAGATATACATTCTCCATTGGGATCACATTCTTCCATGATAATAAAAAATTTGTCAAGATTCATGAAGATTTCATTCATATTTTTAATTGTCAAAGTCTTGACGTTTTTATCAGCTTCTTCTTCCTCACTTTCATTGTGTATTTCATTGTTACTCAATTAAGTATTCATTTGACAGAGGTACTAAGTGAGATTCAATCAACTCATTAGCATCTTCATTGTTGACATCCAAGTTTAGTTCCTTCATTAGGCTAACTATTTCATCTGTGATAGTTTCCAGAGTTTCTTCAAAATTTATAAAATCACTTATCATTTGTGGGCATAATTGTTTCCAGGAACCTTTCATTGTCGACTCTTTTGTTTCAGCCCACAAGTCTCCAATATTGTTTATTGCATTCCATATATTATAATTCTTCCAAAAATCTTTTAATATTGGCTCATCTTTTCTGTCAATTTGCCTTGATGGCCTTAGTCATTATTCATAGTCAATTATTATTAACATTATTATATTCTCATATAATAATGTTTAAACGTAGCTATGACTGTTTTGTCCATGGGCTGTATGAGGCAGATAGTATTGGGAGGAAGAAACACAACATTGATTTCCAGGTATAAATTCTGCAGAGATTTTGAGTGTCCTGGAGCATTGTCTAAGATTAAGATTAATGATGCTTTAAATTGTAAATTATTATTTTTAAAATATCGCTTAATTGTCGGCATGAAATGAAAAGCGAACCAAACTTTAAATATTAATGCAGTAACCCAGGCATTTTTATTTGATTTCCAAATGACTGGAAGGAATTCTTTATCTTTCCCTTTCAATACTCTGGGATTTTCCACTTGGTAAACTAACAATGGCTTCAATTTTAAATCACCAGCTAAGTTTTCACCAAGAAGCAATGCCAATTGGTTTTTGGAAGATTTATATCCAGGGACAACAACTGATTCTTCTTTTGATAAAAATGTACAATTAGGCATTTTTTTCCAAAGATAAACTGGATCATCTACATTGAATATTTGGTTATAAGAATGTTCTCTGCCTACAATAATTTTGGACAATGAAATAAATTGTTTCACAGCATCTTTATCAGCATCAGCCAATTCTCCAGTGAATTTAATATTATGTAAAGAATATCTCATTTTAAATTTGTCAAACCAGCCATTACTTGCTTGAAACCCTGTGTTAGAATCTTCATTTAATCTAGTCTTTCAATCTTCTGAAAGGGACAAAACATTCCTTTCAGTTGCAACCCTTTGTCAGAAAAGTGTGATTTTTCTTGTTTCCACGAGTGAAAAAGCAACTGACATTTCATCAAGATATCGCAGACATCCAACAGACTGTGACAATGAGCTAACAACCATCACACTTGAAGTTTTCTCTGCTTGCTTTCAAGACTTCCAGAAACATTGGCAATTGTGTATAGATAGCTGAGGGGACTACTTTGCCAGGAGCAAGTATCATTACTTGGTAATTGCAATTTTATATTTTTTACAAGCCTTGTCCTGATTCTTTTCTGGCAAAGGGTATACATAGGCATAATCAAGTAGCAAATATAATACACCAAGAGCTTGCACAGAAACACAGATTATTAAACACCCAGGGACCATACTACAAATATACCCCACAGGCAGTATTAGAAAATGACACACACAAAATATACTACAACAGAGCCATAATCACAGATAAAATAATCCATCACAATAGAAGTGACATCACTCTCATTGACAAATGCAGTAAGATTACTTATATAATAGACATTTCCATTCCAAATATTCATAACATGAAAAATGCATACACTGAAAAAATCAACTAGTACACTTCACTTGCTCAAGAAATAAGACAATTGTGGAGGATGGATAAGGTACACTTTTTGTGTAGTGTTTGTAATGTTATACCACATACACTACACAAAAGTCTAGAAACATTAAACCTTAATAAAAACATACATGCATTACAGAGGGCTGCAATATTGAACACTAGTAGCCGGGACACCCCCTAGTGGGCTTTCTTTGCAAATTCCCATGAGTCATGGCACCTTTGACTTTTTTGTTCCAATCAATATGTTCTACAGCTCTGTTAAAGTCCCAATCGTGTCATATGGCTCTATATTTCTATCTATTAAACATTCTTTAAAACTTTAAAATAGTTTAATTTCTTTATTTACTTTCGGTTGTAAACCTCAATTTTAAATGTATCCGCCATTTTTCAACAAATTTCCTGTGAGTCAATGCGCGACGTTCACTGACTTGTGAGTCACGGGATGTTGTAAATGTGCGGCACAAGGTTAATCAAGGCATATAATAATTATTTATACCATTCTGTGGTATAAATAATATATTCATATCAATAATAATTTCCTATTATAAATAAAAATAATTTATTGTTAATTTAAAATCATCGCTAGGGCGCCTCTAGTGCCTGTTTTTGGCATTACAGACATGCATTTAATGGGTTATATAGATAGATGTGTTACATTGCTAGAAAGTTTCTAGATGTTGACACATACCAATAACACAGCTCAATGTTACACTTGTTTGTGTATGCTTTGACTTTAATCCGGCATAGCACTTTGCACCGGTATCAGCTGAGCATGACATTTGCAATAATAATAATAATAATAATAATAATAAACTAATACAAGTACATGGCTGGCGTTATTTACATTTAATAAATATAAAAAATATAAATTCAACTTTACAAAGATAAAACTTTGCATTTTGTCCTTTCTTTTCACCATTCACACCATCAGCAGTCCTTAAATAATTCACAAAACTTCAGAGACGACCTTTCTTTTGAGGCTGCTGCCTCTGCAAAAGGATGTAAAACAGGTAAAGCATCCTCTGGTGTTAATGTCACAATGAAAAGGAAGGATAAAATGCAAAGTTTTATCTTTGTAAAGTTGAATTTATATTTTTTATATTTATTAAATGTGAATAACATCAGCCATGTACTTGTATTAGTTTTTTATTTAAAATGTGATATGATTGTGGCATTAACAGCACAGGATGCTTTACCTGTTTTACGTTCTTTTGTGGAGGCAGTAGTCTCAAAGGAAAGGTCGTCTCTGAAGTTTTGTGAATTATTTAAGGACTGCTGATGGTGTGAATGGTGAAAAGAAAGGACAAAATGTAAAGTCGAATTTATATTTTTTATATTTATTAAAAATAATAATAATAATTTGATTAAATATAAATCCAAAATACAATTCCATGCATGGAAAGCTAGAACTTCTTTAAATAAGTTTCACAAAACCTTCTTACACATTTTCTAGCAGTTTCTTGAGAGAACAAACATTTTCGTCCATGTTTAATGGCCTTCTAGGTAAAAACTGAAGGCGGCCATTAAACATGGACAAAAATGTTTGTTCTCTCAAGAAACTGCTAGAAAATGCTAAGAAGGTTTTGCGAAACTTATTTAATCCAAATACATATTCAATGTACAATATTAACCAACTATGGATTATTTACTATATTATAGCCCAGATGTTATTCTTTATTAGATAGTCTATATTTATTAAAATTGAGTCAATAATAAAATTGGAAATATATCAAAAGATAATTAATTGGTTAATTTGTTACTTACAGCTTCAGATGAAGTTAATAAAATAGTTGGAGATAATGCAAATTATGTTATTAAAGTGGTAAGTATAAGAAGAAACATAATTAAAATAAATTTAGTTAATATTTTAAAAACTTACAATTAATAAGTTAGAATGTATGTAGTTTTTATTTTAAATGTTATTTCATAATTCTTAAGATCATGGTCAGTTCATATGAAAATAAATTGTTAAATATACCATAATTTTCAAATAAAAATTAAAAATATTGAAAATTTTGTAATATACTTATCATGACTAGATGTTGTTTTTTATCACACAGTAAAAGAGTGAATTATTCTATTTTAATTGAACTCTTTACTAAGCATAACTTTATTATGAATATTTTAGGACAGTCATTTCTATCATATAGTTCATAGTAAAAGTTATTTTTACATTTCAGCACAAATTAGTGAAAATTTATTTTTTGCTCAGAAGGAAAAAAATGTCATTGCTATTTGAATTTAGCTTGGTTGTTGTTTTTTTCATTCTAGCAGATCTTGCTCTTCCATGGATTCATTATCCAAAATTGTGCTTACAAGTTAAGATTATCTGTTGTCATTCCCATGAGGGGAAAAGTCATGATTTTAGTGTATATGGGAATTGGCATAATTTCCTAGAAGGATCCGTCCGTCACATCTACTAATGGAAAGTGTCTCCAGATGAGAGGGAGTGGTGGTGATGAAATAATATGCTCTAAGGGAAAGTTTTTATGAGTGGGTATGGATAGTCCAGGTGCATGTGACTTGGCCTTCTTCGACTTCTCACAGCTTCTGAGTACAGGAGAGGAAGGGAGGTTTGATCAGAGAAGAAAAGGATAGTTAAGCTTGAGCTTTGAAACAGTGGAACTCAAGATCAAGATTGCTCCTGTAATTACCAAAATTTTCTGGAGGTTGACAGAGCTCAAAACTTTCCCATTGGGAGAAAAGTAGAAAGAACCTTTAGTATGACAGTCTATAGAAAATATTGTAAACTAACAAAGTATTTAATCTTATCCAATCTTAACCAGTCTAAAACTAGATTGGTGAGATGGTATGAATCAAACTAAATGTTTTTAAAACCTGACATACTTATGGAAATTTACCTCCAAGTATTAATATAATTACCTTTGAGGAAATTTTAAAATCTATATATATATATGGACATGTGTGTTCCTATATTTCACTTTTCAGCCAAAACTACACATCGCACATGAATGGTGTTTGTATGTGGTAGTAGCCCCAAGTCTCCATTCGTGCACTATGGTGGTTGCGTCTCGATAGCTATAAGGGTGAAGGAGATATGGGGTCTTAAAGTGGTTGACTTCAAAGATTTTCTATTTCGATTTTAAAAATGTTCGAACCGTTTTAAATTCGAATTGAATTTGAATTTAAAACGGTTCGAACATTTTTAAATTGTATTCAAATTGGTTTGATTATAGAACGATTGTAAACGTTCCAGAAAATTGATCAAATTGAAAATAGTTCGTTTGACTGGACGAAAAAATTCTCTAATTAGTCTGGAAACGGGGGACCTAATTCTTGCATTCTGTGCTATAACGGTGTGGGAGATATGGGGTTGAAAGTGGTTGACTTCGAAAATGTGTACCAATGGAAGTGTCAACAAAGGAAGTGTTAATATAAAGCGGCATGCAAGATTTACAGACGGTTTTTTGCATTTTTGCGGGAAATCGAACATATTTTTAGACTCATGTAAAAATTCTGTAATTAGTCTGGAAACAGAGTACCTAATTCTTGCATTCTGTGAAAACGTGTAAGATTGGCTATAATGTAATTATCTTAATCTTCACTATCGTTACTTTTTGCCCAGTGAAGCGGGTCCTTGCAGCTAGATTCTAGATTACTTAGAAAAACAGTCTTTTATATATAAAAAAAAACTATATTACATACAAATAAAAACCCAGCGAAGTGGGTCCTTGCAGCTAGTAATACCTAAAAGTGAATAGTGTGCAAGTTTTGTCACTGTAGTAAATAGAATGGCTGTACAATTGTTTTTCATCCTCATAATGTTATGTCTTTAGTGTAAAAATTACAACAGCTGATAATGTAAACAAATTGATGGAATCTTTAAAAGTGTACCAATAGAGAAGCTTCTTACTGGTAAAATAACTATAAAAATATATAAAATATGTTTTCTGTAATTTAGTCATATAATTGAACTAATAGATAATGTTAGGAGACTAGAAGAAGAGTTAGCTTGAAATATGAAAAACTTAAATATTGGAAAAAGATGAATCTATATAAGTGCATTTTTTATTTTTTACTGATAACTGAGTGAAGGATTTGTATTTTTTTACTTTTTTAAAGAATTATAAATTTCTAAAAAAATTAGTCTTTTCATTAATGGTTCTGATTTGTCTTAGATGGTGGTGCATAGCTTTAAATGGGTAGCTATGAAGTTATGCATTGTTACTGCTTTCTGGGAGATTCTGCACTGGTGTTTTTGTTTTGTTGATTGTATGCAATATGTTACATCCAGTGAGATAGAATAACATAGTTCTAAATCAGTTACGACTGAAACATGTTGGTGTGTGGCAGTCATGACAATTGAAATGTACAGTACTCCATCTATTCATTACATTTAAGTTAAAGATAACTGAAGATATTTTGCAATTTATATAAAATTCAATAGTTTTTTATCTGTATACTGTGTTAAAAATTAAATTATAAATATTTTAAATTACAGTAGAGCGTTGTTTATCTGAAAGCCGGTTATCTGAAATGTCGGTTAACCGATAGCATTCCAGTCGGCAAATTTAAATTTTCGCTAGTGCTGTGGCGCTGCAATCTTTGGTTACATCTTGGGCTACTCCAATATTTTTTTTTGTTGGTGTGTGTGTTTTAGCTGGCAGCACTGGCACTTTTGTGTGGTGTTTTTCTGAGGACTGTGTTGTGCTGAATCAAACGTTTTTGATACTAGATCAACTTCTAAAGTATAATTTTTTGTGTTTATATTTTTCAATATATTTATTTTGTTTGTAAAAAATAAAGTAATAATTTTTAACAATACAATAGCCATGATTATTATTTTAAAAAGTTTATGTTAGGCTTAACATTCAACGCGAAGCGACACACAACGGAGAAAAATTTCAACATGGAACAGGTTAGTATATTTTTTTGTACATAATTGGTTATTCGAAAAATAAGTTATCTGAACAACCCCAGTCCCCAATTGATTTGGATAAACAATGCTCTACTACAGGGGTGGCAAACCTATGGCATGCGTGCCCAAATTGGCACGTAAGGAGAAATCATCTGGCACATAATGTATCACACAATTTCTGTCTTTTTCAATCATCTTTTCGGTTTACCACCTGATCATCCTTTCTTCAATCAGCTTTTTTACATTTATTCTAATTAAAGTGTATTCGTTTAATTTCTTTAAATATCGTTATTCGAAGTCGGACACTTTGGCACTCATAAACATTTTTAAAGCTAAGTATGCTTACAATATGGCACGCGAACACAAAAAATTTTGCCATCCCTGCTTTACTGTATATGTATATATGTGTTGACAATGACTGACTTATTTAAACTATGTAAATGCCATAAAATTTCACATGACTTTGATATTTCAATAATTAATTCTATTAATATTTTAATAATAAATAAGTAAAATTACAGTACTTCTAGCTTTCTGGGCTTTTAGAAAAATTTTACAAGTGAAAGAAATGATAAATTTTATTAAATTATAAAAATTAATTTTAATGTAAACACATCCACATTACACACACAACTTTACAGTGCGAAGCAAAAACATGTGTGTATATCATATTTAAAGAACAATGATATATTATGTCACTGTTCTTTAAATACAATCATTTTTGTAAATATTTATTTTACTTGTGCATCTGTAAGCTTAATATTTTCAATCTGACACACAGAGTTAATATGAATAGTAAAAAATGATTTCAATAACGCTTTCTTCTAGTGAGTAATGAAAATCTTCACAAAGGATATCTATACAACTCAGCTGCAGTGAAAAGATGCTCACTTTCATGAAAGATGATATTTGAAATTAAATTTATTGTTTTGTATTGCAACTTTATAATCAATTGTTTCCTGGTTTTATTCTTACTGGAAAGGTTTTTCTGAGAACTTTTTCAGCAACCAAACATAATTTTATAAAATCCAATGAGGTAATGTTCAGACTATTTTGATCTTTTATAAACATCAGTTTTCCTCTGTTAAATTACTTTATTTCCAAACAAAAGCTTCGTGGAGGAAAACATGTAGCACGAAGCTTTTATTATTATTATTATTTGGTTTTACAATATTTCTAGCTATTTTAATACTTTTCCAGAATAATTTGTTAATGGTTCATATTGTGGAATGTAAGAATGATCAAATTTTAAAATATTTTGTATATTATCTATTATTATATTAATCTTGTTTTTCTACATGTTTTTGATAGAAATCTAAATGGAAATATATCTGTACAGTACAATTCAATTGATTATTAGCTTTTGGAAATGATGAAATTCTGGCTAGCAAACATGAGTGATAGTTTATATTCTAACTTTGCAATTTTTACTTTGAAGTTTTTGAAATAGCATCTTTAAATGTTTTTCTTTCTGAATGCTCTTGCAGGGGTTTCTTGAAGATGTGGAGGAAATGAAAAAATTACAGGAATGGAATTTGGTTGTAAATATCTTCTTCCTTTACTATAACTCACAGGTTCTCAAACTTATTTTGACCATTGCCCACTTTGAGATTTAAAAAAAATCTAGTGCCCCCATATTTTTTAACTTACCTTTTTACATTACCATCTGTTGCATATCTTAAAAACAGTTATTGCAAATATAATGTTTAAACATGCATTATTATATGGATAGGATAGATAGAGTGTGACCCATATTCTATTTCTGAGACCAAAGAATGTTTCAATGAAAAGAAATAAAACTCATATTTAATCACTGAGCCTTCTACTGCCCCTTGAAAGTCTCCAGTGCCCACAAGGGGACATTATCGCCCACTTTGAGAAAGGATGCTATAACTGAAGCGTTCTTCTTGAAAATGAGATGAACAAATTCTATTATTATTATTTGGTTTCTAATAATTGTGTTGTATAACTTCTAGCCATTTCTTAAGAAGGGATTCATCAGCAAATGGGAACCTGACAAAGAAAAATGTTTATTTTAAATTTCATTTTCATAAGAATGGAATCTGATGAACATATCACTGATATGAACCATTATGAAATTCATCGTTTGATATATCTGTTTGTAATGCTTCACTCCAAAACATTTCTAATCGTTTAAAACCTATCTAGTTTAAAAAAATTTAAAGTAAGTTAGATATTTTAAATTTATTTTTATTAAATTAATCTATGCTTGATAAAATGTTTAATTTTATCAAACATAGAAAGTGTAGTGTGTACAAAATAAATATTTTACTAGTGAAATGTAATTCCTGAGCTGTCTTGTCACTGTTGGTACAATTGATAGCAACACACAACTGTGGTATAATTACTATGCTTGTATGGTATGCTTTGCCTTCTACCCTGCAACTATCATGGCTTTCCTTACATTAATGAGTTTCATTAAGTGGTGATGTAAATGCTGCTATTTGCACTGTTGTTCTATCTCATTGGTTAACTCATTAGTTTTGGTTTTGAATTTGCAATTTACAACATACAGAAACAGGTTTGCTGCTTAAGATATTTCTTGTTGAATTTCATCTTAGTTTTGACAATAGCTCATAATATTTTTTGAGAGGATTAGCTTGAGTTTAAAACAACAGTTCCCAACCTTTTTCGGGTGGCGACCCCCTTTTTATAAAAGCCAAGTGACCCGCGACCCCGATACAATTGAAAAAGGTATTTTTAATAAGGTAATTAAAAAACAATGAAATTAGTTTTTTAGTATAATTTTATTTTAAATTATGTTTAATAATTAATTTAATGAAATGGTTGAAATTGCATGTATTAACACCCATTGACGAGATAACTCGTCAAGGTTACATAGCGTTATGTAAAATTTGGGAGTTAAGGCCACTTTTGACAAAAAAAATTTTTTTCAATTTTTGGAATGTTTTTTAAGTCCCCAAATTTTTTCAAAATTTTTTGCCCGCGCGAAAAAATTTTATCGCGATTTTAATGAGCCTTTGGTAAGGCTCGATTAAGGCTTAATTGTTTTTTAATGGGAGTTTTTTATCAAATTTATTTCATGGTTCTTAAGTTGTAGCGCACGGATTTTTCTTCGGTAGTTATTTAAAGCTGCTTTCTGATGTCAAAAATGACCTCCAAAAGTTTTTAATTTTTTTAATTAATCGATTTTTTTATATATTAATTTAATTAATTAGGGGGTCGGAAATCGCAATAACATTTTTAATTTTTTAAAAATATTTAAAAATATCCGTGTCGGTCATAGTCACCCTACTTTAAACCTTGTCCTCCCGAGACGTATATGAGAATGCCCCGGGAAATCGGACTCCAGCTGTGTTCAAGGTCATCCAGCTGTGCAAACAATGACTCATCGGTGTTAAATTTCACAGAAAGGCGAGACAAAGGAAAATAAAATTTGAAGCTTTTTCTTCAAAATTAACGCATTTTTTCGTTTTTTTTCAGTTTTAAGTATTTTTTTTATGTATTTTTGATGCTTGATTACGTCATAATTAAAATCAGTCGGGCGTTAAGGGGTTTAACCAGCCTCAAAATTCGCGTGTGAGATTATGTTAACGCCAACCTCATGTCATTCTCAACATTTAATTTATTCCTCTCAAAACTCTCAACACATGATTCAACCAACTATGACAGAATAGCGTACCCAGATTACACTTATTTTAATTTTTTAAAAATATATGAAATTATTCAAACTTTAAGACACCATTAAAAATAAATATTGCATTATAGTGAAAATTTTGCGTTAGTTTACCGCATAAGTTGGCGACCCCACAGAAAACCCGTCGCGACCCCCTTCTGGGTCGCCATGGGTTCCCAACCTATGGGTCGCGACCCCCTTCTGGGTCGGAACCCATAGGTTTGGAACCCGTGGTTTAAAAGATTACATTCAACCATAGGCTGATTTTTTCATCATGTGGATTGAATGTGTTGTTAAAAAAAAACACAGAAAATACTGCCATAAGTTTAGCAGTGATGATACAGAATTGTTTCAATTTGAATTATTATTCTGGAATGAATGAATGTTTTTTTTTATGGGATTCAGAATACTGTAATGGCAGATATAATTTTAACTTTAGAAAAAAGTAGAACTTGAAAGCAGTTAAATAACAATTGTGTTCTTTGATTAGAATCTTTTGAACTTGATTTTGTATGCATTTAATATTTATATAAATAGAAATATATGAAAAAGCTTGCTTAAGTACTTTAAAAATAACTAGAAATATTCAATTATTATTATTTATTTATTTATTAAAATTTAAGATAGTGTATTTGCTCTAATAATTTTATTATTTGTAAATGTTTATTTTATATTACTAAATGTCTGAAGTATGATTTGTATGTGTCTTCTAAAACTGGTGACTGCCTAATAGAAAAGATAAAATTAAAAATTATTGTGCATTATATTGGATAAGTAAAGTTGACTTTATTTATTAATTTCAATATGTTCAAAGTTTTAACATTTTAATTCTAAAAATTTTTACTTTTATAGACCTATATTTTTTAAGCTACTATTAAAATTTTTAAATGCTAGGATTTTTAGTCTGCTTTTATTTTACAGGAACCACATGCTAATGGACCATTATTTGTTGAAATGCATTTTTATCATAGAGTAGGAAAACCTGAATTAAGTATGTGTGATATTTAAATTTTTAATTTTGCATTGTCCTTATATAAATTATTTTAATGAAAAATATTTTATTGGAAAATTCTAAAGTTTTAAAATTATTTATTTTAATATTTTAACAGTTTATATTTTAGTTAAAAGTTTTAGTTAGAGATGGGAAAATACTCATACAGAAAATTTTCTGGATTTGAAATCTTGAATATTATATTTCTAAAAATTAAATTCAAATTGTATACCTCCAATATCACACCATATGCACAGTCAGTGGATGCAGAAGTATCCAAAGGGGGAGCAAACTAAAATAAAAAATTTGAATAACTAATAAACACCTTCATTAACATGTACACAGCAATTATATTGCAGATGGTCCAATAACAAATTTGCCATCATGAATGTTTTTTAAAAAACAACATTTTGAAATTAAAACAAATTTGTTTGATTTTTCTTTTTGTCATCAGTGGCGATGTCTTTACCATTGCATAAAGACACCTCAAGTAAAACTGGAGATGCCTCTTTGACACTTCTATTTTGTGTGTGACAAGAAAAGAAGCAGACTAGATCCTTAATATTTTCAAATGCTTGTTTTCTTAAATAAAAATCTGTAGTAGGTTAGAATGAGAACACTATTTGAACATTATTTGTTAATATATTGTAGTTGAGACAGGTAGTTTTAATACTTTAAAACTATCTATCTCAGATAGTGTGTTTTAAAGTGATACTTACTAAAACATACTATTTTAAAATTCAAAATTAAAAGTTTGAAGTTTAATTTCTTAAAATTTAGTAAGATTTTGTTTTTTTTTTTACTTTTTACTTTCTTAATTTATTAATATATTGAAATAAATAAAACAAGTTAAATAAGAAAAATGTTAAATAAATTATTAACTAAGTTAAATAAGATAATTAAGTTCATCATGTATTTGGATTATTCAAATATCCAAGAAAAGTGATATTAACCCATTTCTAGTTTTATTCATTATATACAGTGTGTTTTGCTTATTTTTTAATAAAAAGTTATACATTCTGAATCTACTACAATATACTCGCAACGTATATTCTTTTAGATACTAAAATCTCAAAATTTAAAAAATGTTTATTAAACTTCAACATGATCTCCTTTGGTGACATGACAAATGGCCAACAATTATTTTACCTCAACCTGTGTTGAGAAGCATTTATGGTATCATGTTGTTGACTGTAGCACAAATTATTTTCAGTCTTCTAGATTATACACTGGTATAGTGTATATATAGTTCTTAATAAACCTCCACAGGGTAGTCAGGTAGTGTTAGGTCTGGTGATCTGGGAGGCATGCAATGGATGATAAATTTTTTTCCTTTCTATCCTGCAGTGAAGTGTTGTTCCAAGAATATGTGGACATCATGGGATCTTATGTTTTTGGAAAACTTTTTTCCATAAAGTTGATGCACAAAATACTTCTGTAACACTTTCATGTATATTTGCCTAGTTACTGTGGCATCTGCAAAAAGGAAGTAACGACTTTTGTCTTTTGTGATTCGCACATCAAACATTGCATTTTAGAGAAATGCTGTTTGTGTTCCTGTACAATGTGCAGATTTTCATATCTTATTGTTAACAGTTATAACCAGGGCTGTAGAGTTGTGTAAAAATCAACTGACTGTAACTGACTGCTTTACCATCCAACTCCAACCAGGGGCGAACTTGTTACCAAAATAGACCCAGAAATTCTGAGTCATCATGTGACCTCAGAATAAAATATTCAATAAATAGAGTTCTAATAAAGATAGAACGTAGAAACTTTTTATTCCAAAGCTAAAAGAATCTTTTAAGTAATGACAGTCAATATATAACTATGTATTTGATAATTTTTACTTTTTTCAGTTGTTATATATAACAGAGCATTTTTGGACTCTGACCACTTTGAAATGTTGAGATATGCAACAGATTCAAGATTTTTTTTTATGTATGGATGTTAGACTGTGTGTGGGGGACTTGATTTTGTTCACCCTGTTTGAAGCTTAATAACTTCTGTGGTTTTTAAATTGGAGTCGGATGGTTTAACACAGGAGTTATTAAGCTTCAAAGTAGTTGAACTAAATTGTCCCCCCAAACTCTTTCTAACATCTTAACGGGTTTTACTGTACTATTGTAAAATGACAAAATGCTTAATTTTGAGGGTAGAGACGAGTTTTATTTTTAAAAAATTGTGAACATTAATAACGAGTAAAACATTCATTAAGTTCAACTGCATTGGAGATATGACACATGACCCCTTCTGTCTCCACCCTGTTGGCCTTTAATTAAGAATCAAAATTTAATAGCATTAATGTCCCTTTATACACAAGCTACAGTGCCAAATTTTGTTTCTTAAACATTACCCATTCTGAGATATTGTTTAATATCTCAGAACAGAGAATAAAGAAATTAAACAAATTATACGTCAACACACACATGCACATGAATTTTTCCCCTTCAATTGACATTTTTTAGGTTTTGGGAGGTCTCCAAATGTGTAGATTTGTAAAAAGCTTGGAAGGTCAAATTTGACATGATTCCAATACTTTTCCATTTTATATACATAAGAAATTTGAAAAGTAAAAAGGAGTCTGAGTCAGCAGATTCTTTGATGACTTTGACTAAAACTCCACGACTCCGACTCCACAGCCCTGGTTATAACAGTGTAGTTTTTTTAGATGGGGAATATTGTGAGGCAATATTCCCCATCTAAAAAAGATTCTAAAAAGCATACTCAGTCTAGGAATGTGTTGTTAGCAACATTGTTTTCATAGTTTTTTTCTGCTGTACTGTCTTCCAGCTTCACTTGTTGATGCATTTGTTCTTGTATTCGTGTAAATGCTATCTTTCATGGAATACCCTGTTCACTGCACTGTTATTGTTAGGATTTGTAACTGCATGTTGGATTTACTCAGGTTTTCTTGAAACAGTTGTTGAATCTGCTCAACATTTTCCTCAGACATCTTAGCTTGGCATGTTTACTAGTCATTGGTAGTAAACATTCTGCATCTGAATGTCTTGTTCCATTTTATAATAGACATACAAGTTGGAACATTTACTGTTGCTTTAAGGTTGTACTCAGCAAAAACAGCTCTTGACATTCATCATGAACTGTAAATTTTGCAGAACACTTGATGATGTAACATTCATATGGCAACTGATGATTCTGACACTATGGGAGATATAGATCTTTCATGTAAATGTACAACACACCAAAATGTGCTGTATTTATAAATAAATTTCAGAACTTCTTTACACTGCTGCTCATATTCTGCCATTAAGACACGTACTGTGTATGTTACAAAGTTCTCTTTAACGCCTTAAGTTCTTCACCCGAGTTAACGCGGGCAGGTTACATAGCCTTACATAAAACTAGGTCCTTTTGGCCCCCTAAAATTTTTTTTTTTTGGAATGATTTTTAAGTCTCCAAATTTTTTCAAAAATTTTTACCCGCGCAAAAAACTTTTATCGCGATTTTAATGAGCCTTTGATAAGGCTCGATCAAGGCTTAATTGTTTTTTAATGGGAGTTTTTTATCAAATTTATTTCATGGTTCCTAAGTTGTAGTGCATGGATTTTCCTTTGGTAAAGTTATTTAAAGCTGCTTTCTGATGTCAAAAACCACCTCCAATAGTTTTTTAATTTTTTTAATTAATAGATTTTATTATATACACGTTTAATTAAGTTGGGGGGTCGGAAATTGCAATTAAAATTTGAATTTTTTAAAATTATTTAAAAATATATGGGTCACTAGAACTCGCCCTATTTTAAACCCTTGTCCTCCCGAGACTTCTATGAGAATGTCCCGGGAAATCTGACTCCAGCTGTGTTCAAGGTCATCCAGCTGTGTAAGCAATGACTCATCGGTGTCAAATTTCGCAGAAAGGCTAGACAAAGGAAAATAAAGTTTGAAGCTTTTTCTTCAAAATTAACGCATTTCTTTCGTTTTTTTTCAGTTTTAAGTATTTTTTATGTTTAATTACATTAATATCAAAAATTGCTGGAAACTAAAGGGGTTAATATACATCTAAGCCAGTTTCCCAACCTTTTTTGTGCTATGCCCCATCTAAGCCTTTCTAAAATTCTTATGTCTCCCTAACATATACAGCGGCTATACGGTTAACTTAAACTCTGGACAAGTCCATTTTCGAATTGCCCTCCTTAGCAATCCAATTGCCCCCTGTGGGGCGTGGGCCCCACGTTGGGAAACACTGATCTAAGCAGAACATTCTATATAGATAATGATTAAAACATTTAACTTAAAATATAAATCTTAGCAATTTCTTTCAAATTAAATAATGTTTTTGATTATAATTTCAGTTTATGTAAATTATATAATAATTCTGTAATCATTATATATTAAAATTTGAAATACAGTAGAATCTTGTTTTAACAGATTGCTCAGGGCACTAAAAATTCTCTGTTGTTCCAAAAATCTGTTATATCTCGAACAATGGATTCTTGCACTCCCAGTAAAACACGTGTCTGCAACGAAGGTGCAGCATACCTTTGTTGCACATGTTTGCATATCTGGAAGTGTAAAACCGAAAGTAGTTTCCCTCCGCTAGTCAAAATGTTACAGGTGGGCACTAATGTGTGGCTGCAACATTAGCAGTAAGAACTGTGATGATTATATGCTTAGCTTGCACAGCATTCAATGTATTTTTTTTTTAATTCAGTGTCCAGAAATATCCAATTAATAATTGAAGATTGAAAAAAATATGATGTTTACCAAAGATGGAGCTAGAAAAAATCTGTTATTCCAAGTCTGCTAAAGAAGAAAAATTATATTGATTTGGCAGGACCTGGAGAAAAAATCCATTGTTCTGCAGTCCATTAAAACAAGATTTTACTGTATTTTCATGAGGTGAAAGGGATAAAGTGTAATTATAATAATTAATGTTCTTAAAATTCAGTTGACAATTGGATGAAACAGAAGAAACTTAGTTTTCTTGGAATGCCACAGTTTATAAGTTCTGGTTCTCATGAAATAAAAGGAGTGAAGTATCGTTTCATGGTAATGGAAAGGTTTGGAGAAGATCTACAGAAGGTTTTAGAAAGGAATAATAAACTTTTTCCTGTTAAAACAGTATTTTCATTGGGAATTAAAATAGTACGTACATTTTTTTTGTTTTATGTTAAGTTAATAAAATAGATACATATAACTGCCAAATATCTTGCAAAATCTGTGTGCTATTTTTATTGAAAATCTTGAAAAATGAATATTATATAATTTTAACTTTAATTTTCAGTTATACTCATTATATATATAAAATTTATTATTTAGACACTCATACATACATAGATTTTTAATGTAGAAAATAAAACTGTTATTTATTATTCTTTGCATGCACAAAATAATTATTAACTTTGTCTGTATGTCTAGATAAAGTAACTCAATTTTCACTCAATTTCCAATCTAGTTGACACTTTGCATACATATTCCTGATGACAATACACTTTTTAGATTTTACAATTTTAGTAATTAGCAAAAAATTAAAATTTGTAAAAATCCAATAACAGTGCTTCACATAGGAAAACTCTTGCTCCTTTCAGTCATATTGTCTATATAATAAAATCTTGTAACTCAACTTTTTACCCACTTTCCAATTACGTGCTAAACTAAGAAAAATTTTGATAATATAGTGTTTCATGTATAAAATTAACAAGAAAATTAAAAAAATCTAAAGAAATACTTTTTATTCATATAGATGCACTGAAAAGTGAAAAAAAATTTTTTAGTTTTCACAGTATTCTTATTTTTGGCCATACAATTGATAGAAAAGATAACTAAGAATATTTCTAAACATGAATGACCCATTCTTTTATTTTTGTCCACATAATATCAAAAATACTGTGAAAGCTAAAGCAAATTTTTCTTTTTAGTGTGTTTACATGAATAAAAAGCTTTTATTTAGTTTATTTTTCTATCCAGTTGATCTGTTTGTTGTTCAGTTGAATTAAAATACTTATAGACAGATTTAATATATTGCAATGTATTAATAATTACCTGAACATTTTAATCTGTGTATTTAACATATTTAACATACCTTTGCTTTTCAATGCACTTGGCCCCTTGATGCACAAGTTTTGTTACTTCCTTTAAATAAAATATTTTTGGTTGAGAGGTAAGCAAGATATATACTGTTTCCTTCAAGTGTTGATCTGCAGAAAATCTGTAGCCTTTTAAGGCTGTTATGAGTTGATCAAGCATGATACTCTAAACAAGAAAGGACAGGACTAGCTGGAGGATATTTCAATATATCAAAATGCATTTGTTTGAGAGAGTCCACAGTTTAGGTCAGAAGAATAGAAATAGGCATTATCATGTAACATTGTTTTCAGAGAGCTTCTTGCCATTTTGTTTGAATTACAGATTAGTTCATTGTAAAGAATGTTACTATAATCAGCACTGTTTACTGTTCTCCTTTTTTGATAATGTTTCAGTATTGTTGCTTTAGTGTCCCAAAACACAGCATTGTTTTTTTTAATGTTGGTTGGTTTTTGAATTCTCTGTTGACTGATAATCCAGCATATTTCCATTTCATGCTCTGCCATTTTTTCTCTGACTTATATTGATGGATTCAGATGTTGTCTCCAGTGATCAGGTTTCTAAAGGTGTTACTTTCATCAACAATCCAAAAAGCTATCAATAGATGTCCAGACAATTCTGTTTGTGTGATTCCAAGAGTTGTTTAGGAATTTAATTGCACAGACTTTGATGTGGATGTAATTTGCCACTTCATTAGTAGTCATGCATCTGCTGTAAAGAACAGTGTCATGGACACGTTGTGTTATCATCAGTAATGATGTGGCTGAGTGTGTAGTTCACGTTTGACATTTGTGGAATAATTTTCAAACTTATGAGTGCCTCTGTGGAGAAAGAGAAGGATTCAATGGCCATATAGGATCAGGTCACAAATACAAGAAACCACAAAGCACATCTTCAGACACAACATTCCCCAGGTGATACTTGTAGAAAATGTCACATTATGACATTTTCTACATGAATATGATGTGTTGTACATGCCTATACAATACATCATATTCAGTTTGAAGCTTTTAACACAAACAGATTACTTACATTAACATAAGGAAATAGCAAGTATAATAAATTAAAGTTTGCACACAAACTACTGTACATTCAGGAATCGTACTACAAATATACACCCTCAGATGATCATAGAAAACAACACACACACACAAAATAAATATACTGTAATCATGCAACAATCAGACAAAACAATCCACCACAACAGACCAAACAGCACATTTATTAGTAAACAAAACAAAATCACATACATCATAGACATAACTTTGTATTTAGTGGATGTTTTTTACAGGAAAAGCATAGTACTAAGCATTGGTATATAAGTTCTGTAGTATATACACTACCATCACCATAATAATACTAAATGAAACATTAGAATATTGGTATTCTTCTGTTTAGCTAAATTAGAAGTCTAAAAATAATTCATTAGAAATGAAGATTAATTTAAAATTATTTTCAATTTAAAAAAAATAATATTTAAAAATGTTTATAACAATCATGTGTTATTTACATACATGTTTTTTTTTTATAGATAGATATATTAGAATACATCCATAGTTTTGGATATATTCATGCGGATGTAAAAGCTTCAAATTTACTTCTTGGATATGGAAAAGGGAATGAGAATAGGGTAATTTATGTATTTAAATTAAAAATATAAATATATATATAAAANAAAATATATAAAAAATATAAAATGCAACACATTAAATATATAAAAACTTGAATATAAACTACTATTTTAGGTATAAGAAGCATTTCTTTCTTATAATATTATTTTGACTACTTGAAAAAGCAGTTTGTTTTTATAATAACTTTAATTATATTTAATTAAATATTGTGTATTGTTTTGTGATATAATATAGCTATGTAATTAATGCATCAATTTTTTATTGTTTTGGAAATATTGAATTTAAGTTCTTACGTAAAGTTTTTCCTTTTAACTGGAACATTCTAATATGCCAGTTAAAGAAGAAAATTTAATTTGTATTTGGTTTTTAATGCTGATAGAATGTAAAAACATTAAAATATTTTTTGTTTTAATAGTTAGCATGATTTCAGTTTTTATCATAATGTATCAATATAATAAATCCATGTAAGCCTGTCATGTTAAAAATACAATTAAAATCAACTTTGTTAACTTTATATTGATTTATTAAGATATAAATCAATTTAAAGTTAGTTCAAATATTTTTTTTTTGAGTTTATAAAAATTATTTAAGATTTAATATTTATAATTTGTATATTTTAAATGATAACGTCTTTATAAACTAGAATAGTGGATCATGTAACAGTCCTAAGAATGATTCCAAATGTCAATAGTTGTAATTAACCAAAACTGCTTTTTCAGAGTCCAAACAATCTATAATTTCACACAGTTTAATTCTCAAGTATTTTTGGATCTTGCACATTCATCTTCATATTTATTTCTAAGTGCAGACTTCAAGAATGCCTCATCCAGACATTTTTTTAACATGTTTCAAAGCTTTAAAATTTTAAAACTTTCAAACAGACAGAGTTCTATTATTCTAAGGAACACCGATGGATTCAAAATCCTCTGCTTTTACTTCTTATTTTTTTGCATATTTCTAATAGTCCAAGAAAAACTTAACTGTCAATTAGTAATCCTTCCTATTTACAGTTCACTTCTATGCACTAGATAAAATCTCTCTGAATTTTTTCTGTTTAGCACTTTATTCTTGAAATCCTTCTCAGAAATTCACATCCCTTCTGTACATTGTTCTTTCCATCTCTCTTATTTTAGCTCTCTCCCATTCAATCTATGTCTCTTTTTTTAATTCCTCTTAACTGACAGCTTGTTAAGAGCATACTAGCCCCTAGTTCAGTTATTTTGTAAAAAAGTTAAAATAAAATTTAATAATTTTAATTGATTATTGGAAATATTCAACTGCTTAATTAACCAGTTAAAACCACTCAGTGATGATATATAAATATAATATGCAATTAACAAATAATATCCAACTGTTTTTAGAAAGGATTTGAAAATTTTTGTTATGGATAAGATAGATCAATAGCAAGATAGCCAAAAAATGTTAAATATTGATTGATGTATGATATGACTGTACATATATATATGTATAAAGCATAAAGACCTGTTTATAAGCTTATATATTCTTTTATTGTTATCCAATCAATAGTCTATGGACTAGATAATTGTGCATTTTTGATACATAAGTGTTTATATCAAAATGGATATAATATAAAAATATTTTAAATTGTAAATAATTATGTAGAATATAATAGATATAAGTATTCATAGATTAGATTAATACTAATTAAAGGCAAGCTTTTATCTTAAGCTCAGAGAGAGAAAATTTTTCCTTCTATTGAAAATATAATTCCAGTTAAAACAGTTTACATAAAATACTGTAATGTGTGTAAAATATTGATGACATTACAGTTAATAGACATAATAATTATCATAACTGTTACTTGACATTAATGTGCATTGCTGGCAGATTGGTTGCTTAGATATATTTATCATCTCTGATTTGCGATTCTGATATTTTTTGGTAACAATTCATGACCAATATGCTGTATGCAGGGTGTGACCAACAAGAATGCTCAAGCAAGCAAGTAGACAATAGTGTAGCTAACACCTTTTAACAAATCATGTTCAAGGAAATTTCCTAATGTTTTATTGGATAATAACAAACCAATACACTTCCTGTTTTGTCTTTGAACTTGCAAAACTTAATCAGTAAATAATAAAGTGGTGAGTTTGCAAAAAGGGGAGGGGAAAATCAAATTCAGAAGGAAAAACAGTGAGGAGAGAAATGCAGGTGTGGAAAATGGTTCCTGAATGGCATCTTTCCCACTGATAAACAACTTTAGAGGCAACTTTACACCTGCAATGATGGCTTTCCTGTAGAAATTCTATGTGATGCATGGGAAGCTGCCATTCGTAGGTCAGTTCACATTAGCTTAAAATAGCTAATTAAAAACATTAAACATGACAAAACATAAAATGCAAGTAAATTAAATGATATAAAAACAGTTTTTACATAAGTAGTATAGAATTAAGTGAATGAAATATAATGTGATCCATGAATATTTACAAATTATAAAAAGGTCAATTCAAATATAATATGAATAAAAATGCAATATAATAAAAAAAATCGAATACAAATACAATCCAATAAGATCTGTTTATAAAATGTCAATATATTTTATTAATATATATATATAATGACGAAGAAGAGATATGAAAACATTTTTTGCAAACTTGAACTCTGTATAATGAATAAATATTTCTTGAAACAATGAAATGTTCATTGCAACTTAAATTCATAAACTTTATACAAGTATAATTTATAACAAATTGATTTAAAACATGATAAAAACAATTTTATAACCGAAGCAGAAATAAATTATAAGAAAGGTATTAACAGTAAACAGTTCTGACAAAACTGATTCTTAAATATTAAGGACAACATTCTGTTCAATACAATTAAACAATAACCTTGACATCTGACCCACTTCTGATAGGGAAGGGAGTTTTTGTTTACATAGTAATAAGACGCTTAGCGCGTTGTTGTCATTAACGGTGAGGAGTGGGTGGCAGCTCATATGACACCCTGTTGCAAAAGTAATAAACTTTTACTGACATTAACACACCATCTACCCCTCTCTGATTACTAAAAATAACAAATGGGAAGCAGTTGTTTAAACAGTAATAAAACACTTGGTGGTTTATTATAGAAATGAGTTGAGTTCTCCCTTTCTACTCAGATTACTGCAAAAGCAATAAACACTTAACACTGGACTTTGAAACACGATCTATTCCTCTCCAATTACAAAGGAACCAATGACAATCAGTGAAAATTGAGATAATCTATCGGCAAGTGAGACCTGATCTGTTTATTTTAAAGCTATATCATATCTAATTACAGGAAAATAAATGTAATTAAAACGTTATAAACAAAGAAAAGTATGAAAATAAAAGAAACAGTCATAATTTCTGATAATCAGTGGCCGCAAATTTACGATTTTAAAATAAAAACAGCTGACGCTACACACACAGTGTTAGACAAGCGATGAGCAATTAGTATTGTCAGCCTACAGTTTACTGAACATGATATCTGACAGTTAGATGCGCGGCTGATGATAGTGGTCCACGAATTTTTAAATTTATGTAGTTTATCGACTTCATAATGTAGAAAAATAGCATCTTCAGTATCTTCTTTCAAGTCTCTAAAGACTGCACTCAAAAAATTTCAAATCTGTAGGTAAATTTTTATTTATTGAGAGGACAGCAAAGTTAGCTGAAGTACAGTAAGATTCTGCTTAATGCTGATTCAATATAACGCTGTCTACTTGAAGCCTTAAAAAAACCCAAAATTTACACTAATTCAAATTATTGTGACACTTCATTGATTATTTTCAAACACAAACCAATCTGTAAAAGGTGGCAATTCGTCATAGTTGTGAGGGGCTAGCCGTGGATAGAGAGTCTGGGTTAGTCTCTCCACTTCTTAATCTGCGGTGCAATTGGTAAGATTGGCTCATGGAGTCGTAGGATGGCTTCCTAAGACATTGATAGAAGAGCAGAAGTTTGTGAGAAACCCATGCCAATTTGTTTTTCCTGACATCAGCCTAGATACAAGGTCTGTTCAAAAAGTATCGGACCTTTGGTCGGCAAAAATAAATTTATTGACTTTGAGGTACAAAACCCTAATCCCCTTCAAAGTAGTCTCCTTGGTAATGTATACACTTCTCCCAGCGTTCCTGCCATTGCTGGAAACACTGCTGGAACGCATCTTTTGGAATGGCCATCAGCCGGTCCGTCGCATTCCGCACGATGTCTTCTCTCGACTAAATTCGGGTTCCTTTTAGCGGCATTTTCAGCTTGGGAAATAGCCAAAGGTCACACGGAGCCATGTGGGGAGAGTACGGAGCGTGACGAACCACAGGAGTATTGTGTTTGGCGACGAAAGCCCGAATCAGATGCGCAGAATGGGCGGATGCGTTATCACGATGGAGCTGCCAAGTTTTGATCGACCACAGATCCGGTCGTTTGCGTCGCACTGTATCGGAAAGACGACGAAGGACCTCCTGGTAGTACTCCTTTGCGATGGTTTGGCCTTGTGGTGCGTACTCACGACACACCACCCCACGAGAGTCGAAAAAACTGTCAACATGACCTTTGATATTGCTGCGGACCTGCCGCGCTTTTTTTGGCCTCGAGGATCGTCCCCGAAAGCCTACTGAATCTTGCGAATGGTTTACACTCGGGTATCGCCAAGGTTTTTGGCAAAATTTGATGTAATATCGCTGCTCACGTTGTTCAGTCATTTTCCAGCTTAGTGGAATCCGACGAGAGCGCACTACATGACCTCACTCATAGGCCGATTGCCAACAACTGACGCTTCCTGCAGGCGGGAAAAAATTCAGGGCTGTGCATGACTGTCCCCTCCACAACTCCACCGAAGGAGGCCTCTCGCGCATCATTGGTTTACGCGGGGAAAAAAAAGGTTCGATACTTTTTGAACAGACCTTGTATAGCATTAGGCATGCTCGTTGTCGTTTGAGAGGAATTTCGAGTGGGAAGGTCACAAGTAAGTGGAGGGGATGTTAGTTCGGATTTGAGTGAAGAATGAGACCATGTTA